TACAAACATCCATCCATCCATACATACATACATCCATACATCCATCCATCCATCCATCCATCCATCCATCCATCCATCCATCCATCCATCCATCTGTCCAAACATCCATCCATCCATACAAACATCCATCCATCCATCCATCCATCCATCCATACAAACATCCATCCATCCATACATACATACATCCATACATCCATCCTTACATACATACATACATACATAAAGTACATGTGTGTATGGTATGTATGCATGTATGTATGCATGTATGTATGTATGGATGTATGTATGGATGTATGTATGGATGTATGGATGTATGCATGGATGTATGGATGGAGAAAATTATTCAGTAGCTGCAATGACCAAGACAAAGTCCTGACCTCAGCTTCTTTATAATGTTTTGCATTATTAATTGCCCCAAACTTCAAAAACTCAGAAGCAAACTTACTGCATGTTGGACCTTCAGTCCATCGTCCAGCTCTGCAAAAGACAGAATGCTTGGTGGTTCCTTTCTCTGTAGAATATCCATCTTTACACTGAAGTGTAACTCCACTTGTGAACCCACATCAAACATCTCCTGGTAGTCCTGATTAATGACGACTGCGTTGAGGATTTTAGGAGGCTTGGTGCATGGACTTTCTTTAAACAAAAACGATTGTGACAACAAAAAACAATGTTTTATAACGTGCATTTTAAAAGTTCTTAACTATATTACCCTTTTTATTTTACAAAGAATTGGGAAACCATTTTAAATGCCTCTACTAAATAAAAAATGACAAAAATATAATATAAACAAATTCTTATAAACGTACCTGTACACTATGGGTTAGCAACCATTTGCCATTTATACATGTACTTGTTCTCCACCAGCCGTTTCCTGCTGGTTTAAATCCATTATCACAGGTGTAACTGATGGTGGATCCATGTGGATAAGATTTCAGCACAGGGAGAAAAAAGCCTCCATCCAGACTGGGAGCACCACAAGGCTGTGCTGTGTTTCATGATGAAATATATAAAAAGAAGAGAAAATACAACAACTCATAAACTACAATAGACCAATGTCAGACATTTCTATGAACACAAATTGAAAACACTTACCATGCAGCACTGAAGGAATCCAGACCAGCAGAGCAAATCCAAAATACATGACACACATTTTGTCAGGAGTACTATACAACACCCCAAAGAACACAGAGTGAGGAACCTCGTTCAGATTCAGTTAATAAATGATAATAATAATAATAATAATGTCATCACAATGTCAGCACTGTATGTTTCCATACAATGGCGAAATTAGTCTCTGCATTTAACCCATCCACCACCAGGTGGTGCAGTGGGCAGCTATTGAAAGCGCCCGGGGATGGACATTGCCCTTAAAAATAGTGACGAAATAGTAAATATTGTGTTGAACTGTCAGTTTACTGTTGCTCGGAAATCATAGTTGAAACCTCTATGGCAATGTTTAATGTCCAGATGTGAAAGTGATTTCCAGGACTTCTAGGATCAGAGGTCAGTCTTACAGGATGTCAAACCACTGTCATACTGGACTGATGTTTGGAAAAGATTAAATTAAAAGACCCTGGTTTAATTTTATGTTTTTAGTAATGGTCTGCTTTGGAAGATGTTACTTAGGTTTGACTGCTAGAATTATTTCCAAGGACCAAGATTATTTTGCAGGTCCTGACCTCAGATCCTCTTCCTCCCTGTTTCTGTGGTGCTTCTTTGAAGGCAACCCTGAACCTTTGGGTGAGGATTAGTGACATTTTTTTAATTTATTTATTCATCCAATCTTTATTTATACAAGTAGTCTCACTGAGTCACAAGGGCTCCTGGTGGGGATAAAAAGGTAACAAAAAAAAATACTTCGGACAGGTTTCGCCATTTTCTAGTTTTCTTTCAATAAGTCTGTAAGCCGTCCCCCATCCAGAGGACTTCAAATGGGGGAAGAAGCATTTCTTCACTGAAAGAAACCAGTCCAGATGACATGATTTAACTGTTTTTGTTGTTATCTACCTGGATTATTGAGCTTACAGTACAAACATTTTTTCTGAACCAGTTTGGCCTTGGTGTCCTCAGGATGTTTCTGTGAGTAGCTGGCTACCTGGCCCAAACTATTTGATTGTTGTCAATGATGATTGACAGTTTTGGATGGGTGTGCTCTGTTTGCATGTGTTAAAAGCTTATTTCTGAGATTCCAACAGGAGGTTGGCTTGAAACACAGCAGTGAAGGCTACCTATGGGACAGATCTGGTTGGCAGGCTGTAGACTGACGAAGTCCTCTGGATGGGGGATGAACCGTTTCTTCACTGTAAGAAACTGGTCCAGATGACAAGATTTAACCATTGTTGTTGCCTCTACTAGGACTGTAAATGTCCGGTCTAATCAACATTTTAATATTTGGTTGGAGATGCAAAGTTTGTTCTGTTGGATCTTTTTCCTCTGAATCAGTTAAGAACAAGAAAACCTTACAATCGCTGCCTGTCTCATCTGTCACAGCTGCAGCCACTTCCCTCATTAGCCACACTCTACATTAATCCAGTTATTGATAGTATTGATACCAATATAATGAAGTTTAAAGCTAGCAACTCTGCATGTCATCAACGCTGATGTCAGATCGAGTACCCGGGAAGAGGAAAGCTCATATGTAAAAACTTAATTTGATCAGTTCTGATTGCACAACTTCAGAATTTCAACACTCATGCTAACACGTGTAGCATCCTTTTCTACCTCTGTAAACAGAGCAGCGTGTGACGTCCCGTCTTCTAACCATGTGGTTCACTTCAAGACTGTTCACATTGGAGCCTGACGGCAGCTGCATTTCACTTATGATGTGAACGACCACGCCAACAATAGACAAACAATAAAACGAGTCTGTTGTTTTGTTTTTATTCTGTGCAGTAACATTAAAAATGAAGACATCACCACATTTAGTAAAGGGACATTTTTACTCTGTTGAAGGACACAAGAATACAGGACACTGTTAGACACATAAAGTTTGTCTGACTATTTACTGCACTCATTTTGATATCATTTTATACAAACCGTCAAATATCAGCTCGCACATTCACAGTGAGAGCACAGAGTCACAATTAAACAGTTTCCATCAGAAACAATCTGTTTGCAGGTGTTGTCAGACTGAAATCTTCCAGATGTATTTTTTCTGTGTTTCACTGTAACTCGTATAATAATGTTTCTGGGCCACAATATCCCTGATGAGAAAAGACAAGGAAGAAAATATTATAAATGTCTCATTTGCAATGAAACACGAACTGAAACTAATGTCATTCTCTAAAAGAAAATCTGATACTCACATTGTATATGTCCCGGTTGTGACAACCTACAAATATAAAAACAAAAATCACAACTGTAAAGTGATAACTCTCAAACTCTTCACCACAAGCAGTGGCTTCAGTTTAACATTAATGTACAAGAGGCACAACAAGGTGAATGGAAAAGGCTGCAGGGAATCATTTCTTTACAAACCAACAGACTTTCTGTTCTATGTCCCACTATATTAAAATAAATCGTCTAAATGAAAATGAAGTATTTCCATGTGTTAGTTGGCAATAAAAAATACTAAAGTAGTGAGGATTTAGACCAGTTTAAATGTAAAGACTTTCCTGATAAACTTACAGTTATGTGAGGTTTTAATTCTTCTGTTGGAGCACAGGAAAGGTCTACTGTAGTTGTTCCATTTGCATGGAATGTACTGAATCACTCCCTCTTTCAGATGTACAGCTGAAGTCTGTTTCAAGTCTAACTGAGTAGTGGGATGGATCACACAGTCTGCAGCTGCACAAAGTGTTCAGATAAACAAGAGAAATTAGATCATTAACATTTTTGGTGGACATTTTAAATGACAACTATTACACACTTGTTCACTTTTGCAAAATGCATTTTGTAACCATAAAAAAAACAACATTGCAAGACACAGAACAATTAGTGAAATCATGTAAAACGATTTCACCTAAAAGCAGAGAAACTAGAGAAACTGGACTTATCCATGACCTCGACTCTACAGTTCCTTTGAGATGATTTTTTAGGACAGACTGAAGGAGAAACAACGACTTAACTTGTGTATTCAACTAATGACGAGTGCTCAAATGAAGAGAGCACAAAAATATAAATTGTAGTCATAATGTAGTGGATGGCTAGAACTATTCATTAAAATATTTAATTTAAATGGTTTAATTATCTCTTTTTGAATCTCTGCTGCTCCAGTTACACAGCGAAGGAGCAGATTACTGAGCCAGGACGCAAATATCAAAGGTAGATTTAAAACATGTTTTACAGACTAAATGAAAAGTATTTTGAAGCTCAGCTTTAACGGACTGTGAATTTTAGGGACTCCTACAATGTAGAGGACGACAAAAACAATTTCTTGAACGAGTGGGTTCATCTAAGCTATTATCAGGAGGATAAACAAGGATCACATAATTGTATATAATATTCAATAAACATACTACATCTGCAGTTAGGATGCACCACATTTCTCTTTTGGACTATGATGCTTTTCTGTATGTGTCCACTTACTGCATCTTGGACCTTCAGTCCATTGTCCAGCTCTGCAATTGCTGTATGAGTTAGTTATACTATATCCATCTTCACACTCATATTGGACTCTAGAGTTTTCAGGATACACCTCCTGGGGTGTCTGATTAATGATGACTGCATGAGGGATTTTAGGAGGCTCGGTGCATGCATTAGTCATTTCTGCAAAACAAAACAAAACACAAATCTCTTTAAGGTGAAGAGAGAAAAGAATGATAGGTTTAACTAAAAATCCCAGCCTGAACATCTGACGTACTTACTCTCACAGCCAAGTACGGGAGACCACAAGCTGTTTGTGCAGACCGTGGTTGAGCCGCGACGTTTCAGTTTATATCCATCGTTGCACGTTACCGTAACGCTTTGGTTTTCTTCGTACCAACCGTTTGGACTTTCAGTGTATTTGCCATTTGGGATAGTTGGGGGAAGGCAGGCGTGCTCATCTAACAAAATAAATAAATAAATAAATAAATGAAAGAAAAAAAAAGATGGTACAGACAGAATTTGTGAAAATACAAAATTGGTTTCAACTTAACAAATTATCATTAAATTTGGATAAAACAAATGACATGATATTCAGTAACAGTAAGAGAACTGCCGATGCTCCATTTAGAGTTGATGGTGTTGAGATTTGTAGAGTCAGTGAGGTGAAGTTTCTGGGTGTCATCATTGATGAAAAGCTGACATGGAAACCTCACATAAATTATTTAAGAACAAAAATAGCTAAATCTATTGCAGTACTGTACAAAGTAAGGGAGTTACTCAATGATAAAACACTGTTTATGTTGTATAATGCAATAACTGTCCCACACTTAATTTACTGTATTGAAGTCTGGGGTAAAGCATGTAAAACAATTACAAACCCTATTTTTATTTTACAAAGAAGAGCTGTAAGAATTATAGATTATAGACATCCATCAAATACATTGTTTCATCAACTGAAGATATAAAAATTATATGACTTTGTTGATTATAATATTTTACTGTTTATGTATAAGACTCACAAAAACATACTGCCTGCTAATATCCAAGTAAATGTTGTTAAAAGGGAGAGTGGTTATTATCTGAAGGGGATAAAGATGTTTGTGAAGTGTTGGTTTCATACCAGTTTGAAGGAGTGGTCTACTATAATTCAAGGAATAGGACTGTGGAATGGTCTGAAGGATTATGTTAAAACTACCAGATCTATGTACATATTCAAGAAAATGTTAAAAGTTAGTTTTCTGAAGGAATATGGAAAAGTATAATGTGTATCTATACAAATTGTTTGAGTTGATGTTGTTTTTATTTAGCTTTGTTTGGTTGTAAATTACTTTAGTTTGAATATATTCTGAGCAAAAAGGGGCAGATATTATAAGATTTATCCTTCTGCTGCCTTTCATTTTATTTTTGATTGTATATATATTTTTTGTTTTCTATTGTATATAGTTATTTTGTTTTTAATGAAATGAATACATTTCTAAAATAAATAAAAAATAAAAAAAGACATTCCTGTGACAACAATATTCTGACATGCCTGTCTGGCTGTCTGCACACAAAACTTATAGCAATATCAAAACCTGGTGATCTGCTTTTACTTTGAAAACATAATAACCTTCATGGTTACATCAAAGTCCATGCTCAATAATCCAGGTAGAAAATTCAACAAGTTCAGTCAGGTCATCTGGACAGTTTCATCTGGATTACTGAGCATGAACTTTGATGTTTTGGACCACTTTGGCTATTGTTCCCTCAGAGGAGTCGATGGGGGAGAGGGCGAGCTCCAGAAACCATCTTATCACCAGCAAGCTGGGTGTGCTGCTTGTGGGCCTCAGTTTGTTGTGGCTCCTTGGACTGACGAAGTCCTTTGGATGAAGGACGAAACGTCTCAACAAAAAAAAGAAACAATCCAGATGACCTGACTGAACTTAGTTGGCTTCATGGTTAAATTTTAGACCCTCCCCCACCCCCCAAAAAAGTGAATTTTCCTCCTGCAGAGTTGCGTGGAGTACTCAGTCAATTTCTCATGTGCATTAAATAAGAGAACAGCTACAATTTAAAGTTATGAAAATAGTTTATTCAGTCCAAGCTAACAGCTCAGAACATAAAAGCAATTTTATATGATTTAAAATCACCTTTAAAAACTTTATCAATACATCTTATTGAAAGCAATATTAAACTTTTTAATCCTCATCATTTATCCTTCTAAAACATTGACACTAATTACTCAAACAACAATCACGTTGGCACCGAAGGTCAAAAAGTGTCAGCACAACAACAACCACCTGTTTTTCATGTCACTAAAAATGACAGAACCAAAGTACTCATGCATGTTCCTGAACATGGAGACATTTGAAATGCATTGGGAGGAAGACAGGACGGACATAAAGAGAAATGTACCATGTTCATATGAACAACCAGTGATGTTAGGACCAGTGTTGTGCTTGAACACATTCAAAAGAGCATGATGAGTGCATTTGTCTTTTGTCAACTTGAATCAATTTCAGACATTTAACTTAGTCTTTCTGTTGAACTGAACTGTTGCTGTAACCAGCAAATTTTCTACAAAAACCTAATTTTGTGCAAAATAAATAAATAAATATTTTAAATTAATTAAATTAAAAAGTTGTAATCTGTCCCCCTGGAGGACAGGCGGGTTATTTCCTGTGTGTGCTGCTCTGTCAGGCTGCTACACACATCTTCATGTGTTAGTATTATTATATATATGAATCTTTATTTAACCAGGTAAATCCCATTGAGATCACAGATCTCTCTTTCAACGGAGGCCGGAGCCTTAACGATAGTACTCCTATATCAAGTTGACCCTTTGTTGCTAACATACACGCATCTACTCTTTACATGGCTTTTAATTTTAGTATAAAAACCAAATGCACACGTGTGCACACCTGAATCTGTGTGACCGTTGACGGAGCATGCTCCAGCCCCCTTGTGCAGGACACAGAGAGAAAGGGCAGCAGCACAGAGGGAACGTTCAGCCATCATGCCTCACAACACTGCTCTTTCTGACTGGACGTGTTTGTAAGTAAAGTCGACAGCATGAACGCTGTTTTTGATTTATGTAAACGGGAGGTTTTCTGCTGACATCGGGTGCAATATAATTGAGATTTTATTTAAGTAATGGATTAAACTAAAGTTTTGAAAGCGACCAAGATTAAAAACACTGCGGCTTTTGCAGATCTGTTTTGTCATAGCTCTAATTTATGCTACAACTAGTAAGAATAATGTTTGGATGCCATTCGAGTCTGCAGATATAAAAACAGGTGTTGTGGTTGTTAAACTCACAGACTTTATTATTACAGAATTCTGTTCAGCCCCAGTCTTCTACATTTCTTCTTCTCATGCTGTCTATTCTCTCCTATGCTGTCACAGCAGCGCCAGCTAGTGGCAAGAAGTAATAACAGCGCACTACAGAACACATCCCCTGTTACCTGAACAATAATAACAATAATAATGTGTTACGTGTTGTTATCATTGTACAGTATGTTTCCATACGATGATGAAACTGGCTCTCTGCATTTACCCAACAACCCCCAGGTGGTGCAGTGGGCAGCTATTGAAAGCTGGGGATAGGGCGTCCTGCTCAGAGACACCACGAGATGTGCAATGACTGGGGATTGAACCTGGGGCTTTCAAACAAGCACATGCACTTTAGGCAAAAAGTAGCATTTGAAGAAAGAATAGAGCTAAAAAAAAAAAAAAAAAAAAGGTTTGTAGGCTCGTTCATCCAGGTAGATAACAACAAAAAAGGTTAAATCATTTCATCTGGACCTTTCATCAAAGGTTAGGCTCCTTTCTTCTTTATGCATTATGCACTTTTGGCTTGCTATAGACTATTTTTTCTATTTTTTTTATTCTATTTTTTATTTTTTTTATTTTATCTATAGGCAGGATGTCCAGTCTTGTCCTCATTGGTCTTTCTTTAAAAATCTGGAAAGGGTATTTACCAGTTGCTGCATTTCATATCAGTTGTTGGTGCAGGGGTTTTCCTCACGTGCAAAAACTGAAGTTAAGAATGGCACAATAGTTGTTGCTTTAGGAGTAAAAGATATTTCAAACCATTTACTAAAATGATCACCAAGGGTGATAGCAAACCTGCATTTGTAAGCTTCGTGTTCCAACGGAC